TTTTCCAAGCATCCAAGAAGCAAAAACACAGTCATCCAGGACCATTAATTTTTTAAAAAAACCCATCCTCCAAGAACTCCATAAAAAACTTTCTAAAATTAGCAAAATTATTTTTCTTTATATAACTATATAATACCCTTACTGACCTAAAATGACCTTATATGAGTGAAAAAACAGCATTAGAAAAAGCGGGAGAATATTCATTAAACACTAAACAAACTGGGGAGGCCCTGGAACTTTTGTCTAATTTAGGAAATAATTCAGTTAGTTTAGTTTTCTTAGATCCGCAATATGAAGCTGTGCGGAATGTTTTACGGACTGATTATCCCTTATATTCGCAATCTGACTATCAAATACTAAGGATATTGGAGCAAGTGGAGCGAACTCTTAAACCTTCCGCCTTTTGTCTTTTATGAGTAAACAAAACTCTGCTCGGCAATGACCGCATTCCGTTATGACTTTTAAAAACTCCTTCTTTGAAAATAGTTGATTTCTTGGTTTGGCATAAAAAAAATACTCTGGGACTTGGCAATTGATTAAGAAGTAATGCGGAATTCTGTTTTTTAATCCAAAAATGTCCCCAAACTGGTAAAGTTTTTAAAAATAGGAGTTTTGGAAATGTTTGAGAGGAAAATGTTTTAGCACCTAGCAAAAGGCAGCATCCCCACCAAAAACCTAGGGAATTAATAAAAGCCTTAATTTCTGCGACCACTAATCAAGGTGATTTAATAATTGACCCTTGTGCTGGCTCATTTGTCGTTTTGGAAGTTTGTCAAGAGTTAAAAAGGGAATTTCTGGGTTGTGATTTAACCTTTAAAGAACTAAAAGAATTTCAGCAAAAAAAATCTATATATGCCAACCCTTAATTTAAAAAACATTACTATTAAAAAATTAGAGGATAGAAACCTTAACACTTACTTTTTGATTGTCAATAATGACAATTCAGAGGAAGCCTTCTTTTGTTTCCCAAAAACAGTAAAAGAAGGATGAGACAGTTTGGTTAGCAATTGAGAAAGTATTAAGGAAGTAGAAATTGAATATACCGAAAAAGAAAATAATTTTAAAACTTACCGCAAAGTAGTTAGTTTTTATTCTCCTGAAAGCGAGGAAATTATTGTTTAATGAGTTTACTAATTAGTGGCTTAAAATTACCATTAAAATTATTAGTTAATTTAGTAAGTAATAAACGAAAAAAAACCAAAACAGAACAAGAGAAAAAACAGTTAGAACATGTGCGAAATTTTGACCCTACTCGTTTAAATAATCAGAGTTGGCAAATCAGATCTGGTAAAAAATTAACTAAAAAACAGAAAGTATATTATAAAAAGAAAGCAAAAAGTAAAAAAATAACTTAATATGACTAAAAATCAAGAAAAATTCTCTCCTACCCATCCTGGAAAAATAATTGAAAGGCGTTTCTTTAAAACTCGCAACTTAACAGCGGAAAAAGTGGCAAAGGACACTTGTTTGCCTCTTTATCAATTACAAGAACTAATTGAGGGCAAAAGAAACATTGATACTGATATCGCTTACCGTTTGGGTCTATACTTCAAAGTAGGAGCAGAAGGCTTTTTAAACTTACAACAGATTTACGATTTAGAGATTTGGAAAGATAGACAAGAAGCGGTGGTTAAAAAAATAATTCGTCCTTACCAAGAAACGAAACAACATGACCGAGCGAAAGCAATTTAAAGACAAGGACACTGAAAAAGTTTGAAATCGGGTTTTTGTTAAGAAATGAAGCAAGGAATTACAAAAAAGAACTTGGGAGGAAATGTCTTTATTATTTTCTTTTGCGAGTGATTGAAACAAATTAAAAGAAACATTTGGAACCGATTTAGAACCTTTAAAAGGCAAAAGAAAAGGTCAACATAGTATTCGGGTTAACGACCAATGACGAATATGCTTTGTTTGAGAAAAAGGAAAGGTTTACCAAGTAGAATTAGTGGATTATCACGATGAGAAAAAATAAAATCATAATATAATATGCCAAACAACGCCCAAGAACATATTAACCAACTTACTAATAAGGCTAAAATTCGTTATTTAGACATTAGTAATAGAGACTTATCTAGCAGTGCTGATTTACAAGAATTCACATCCTTAACCAGTCTGAATTCTTACAATAATAAGTTTGAAAACTTGGACTTCTTAAACACTTTACCAAACAAAGAAAACTTAAAGAAAATTAATTTTTTTGGTAATCAGATCAAAGAAATAGACTTGTCCTGATTACTAGAAAATTTTCCTAATTTGGAATATTTAAATTGTGAAAATAACCCGTTAAGTGCGAAAAACTTGGAAAATTTATCCAGCGAACAATTTGGGAAGTTAGTCCAAGGAATTAAAGACAAAAAGATTAAAATTAATTCTTGAAAAGGAACTATTTTAATGGACTTGTTGGAATACGCTCAGAAATTAATTAAAAGTGGCGATAGTTCCCAACAACAACAGGCTCATCAATTACAAACCATTTTACAAAATAGTTCAGTAGAGCCAAACAAAGGAGAAAATAATTCTAAACATACTGCGTTAATTATAGGAGGAGCAGTTGCCGTAGTTATTGGTTCGGTATTGGTTGGATATTTATGAGGTAAAAAAAGAAAAAATAATAAAATTCAATAATATATAGCAAGTAGATAAACCTAAAATCCTTAAAATAATATTATTAATTAAAAATTTAATCCTTATGGTTATGGAAAATAAATATCTTGAAACCAAATTTTCATAAAATTAATATTATGTCCCAAACTAAAAGAAATGAAAGATGTGGTGTAGGTTTTGGTGGTTCGATTTGTGGGAATGACAATCCTTATGGCCAATGTTGTTCGCAATATGGATTTTGTGGTAATACTTCTGAACACTGCTCTCTAAATAATAAATGTCAATCAGGTTGTTGACAAAATCCCTCTTCATCTAGCACCTTACCCAGCGGAACAGAAATTTCTGACAACTCTTCTCTTCCCAAACAAAACAGAACAATTATTTTGGTTGCTCTCGGAGTATCAATTGTCTCGTTTATTGTTTTCTCTGTTTTGGTTGTGATTCTTATGAAAAAATCGAAATCAAGTTATAAAAAGATTAATGACTTACAAATTGAACTTGATACAATAAAAGGACAAATAGTAGATCCAGTCAATTAAGTATTAACAAAAAATGAAAGCAAAAAGAATACATAGAGATAAAAAGTGTCGTACTAATCATAAATGAAGAAGAATTTAATTTTTCAAAAATAGCAAGAACTAAGTAACAAAAATATGGCAAATGCACAGCAATGATTAGATCAAAATTATCCTAATAGAACTAGGGGTCAAATAACCGAACTTGATATAAGTGGTAAAAATTTGGAAGGTGATTTTAGTTTAGGAAGTTTTAATAATTTGAAAAGAATTGACTGCAGTAATAACAGATTAACTTCCGTGGTTTTTTTAAAAACTTTACCTTATCCGGAGAAATTAGAAATATTGCGCCTCGACAGCAATAATTTCCAAACTGCTGACTTGGAATTCTTAAAGCCATTTATTAATCTAAAGGAGTTGCGTATTGGTAATAAAAATAAAGAGAAAATTGATCAAGGTATTTATAATCACTTTTCAGGAAGTTTAGAACCTCTAAGTTCTCTTAACAAGTTAAAATTTCTTGACATTGAAGCTACAGACATAGATAGGGGATTAAAATATTTGTCTAAGGAAATTGAAGAGCTGCATTGTTCACTAGGTTATAGAAAAAATTGCAAGGTCAAGAATATTAACGATTTTTTAGGAGCTGGAGGGAATGATCTAATAAACAAAAACAAGATCAAGTCGCTGATTAGTGCCATTAAAAAAGTAGAAGAAAATGTCGCAATGTCTTCTCGAAATCAATACAGAATCCATAATAAAGTAATAGATGACTTGTGTAAAGAGATAGAAAGTCTAGGAGGAGTACTAACAGAAAAAAGCGAGAAAATCTCTCATCAAAATATGGAACTAAAAAATAATCGAGAAACTATCCAAAGACTTGAGACAAAGGTAAAGAGTATCGAGTGAGAAAAGAAAAATTATCAACAACAAGTCCAAGAACTAACCAGTATTCTAGGAGCGGGAAGTAATTTTTCGTACATTCAGCAAGGAATTATGGAATTTTCTCAATTACGTTTACAACCTTCGACGGAAGAAGTAGAGGCCCGTTCAAGTACTCTTCGGTCAATTACTCTGGAAAAACTTCTTCAAGAAAAAACAGAACAAAAAAAACTGGTTGAGAAATGATTCAAAATCGAAGAAATAATACTACCTAATCCTACTTATTTAATTGTAGAAGGAAGAAACGATTTACAGATTAGGTTGGATAGGTCTGTTGCCTTTCGAAATAAAACTGACACGAACCTTCATTTTATTAATCGTTATCCTTTCAATAAATATAAAGAAGGAGACTATTTAGAAATTGATACTGATAAATTAAAAACCAATTGTTCACGAGATATAGATGATATTTCTTTAGTAAGAAGAGTTTCTTCTGAACAAAAGAGTCTAGAACACTGATGGTTGGAAAACAAGATTACCTATCAAGAGAGGAAAAACTTGTTAGCAATAGCTGATATTAATAATTCACCAAAATTTTCCCTTCCTGAACTAAAAAAAATACTTCGTTACGATGAGTTAGTAAAAAATAATCGCGAGAAGATAAACATTGAAGGGAAAATTTGACGTATTATTCTTTTCTCTACTTGATTCAATAAGAACTGCATAATAATTGTTAATGGTCAGCCCAACAATCAATGTGTTTATTCCATTTACTTAATACTTTATGAATTACCCCTAAGGAATATGCCTGAAATTCTGGAGGTTATTAGGCTCCCTGAAACTTACTCAGAGGTGGGAGATATTACAAATGCTGTTTATTCCTTAGAAGCAAAATTAAATGGCGATATGCCAATAATTTATCAATCTCCTTCCCTAGAACTTCTTTACGAAAATGAGTATCGTTTACAAAATGTTTGAGAAAAGGATATTTATTCAAGTGATTTAAAAGATAATCCTGATAAATATATTAAACCACTAGACATTGTTAAAACATATAGTGGTGAGTCTGTACATACTTGTATATATCTAGGCAATAAAAAGGTTGCTGACAATTTTTCAGAACCAAATGGAGTAAGAATCAATGATTGAAAAAAATTTTATGATTATTACCAAAACCCTAGTAAGATGATTCGTTATCACCTTGTAGTACCTTATAAAAAAGATGAGAAAATTATCGAACATATTGCCAAAAGTGTCGTATCAAGAGAAAAAAGTGTTCCTTCCCGAAAGAAGTTCGAAATATATGAAAATAATTGTGAGCATTTTGCTAATACATGTGTTTTTGGTGTTAATATCTCTGAGCGTTGAGAAATAAAAAAAGTTAAAGAAGGAAAAGCCGGCAAACAAAGAAAAATAACCAAAGAATTAAAAAAAGAAATAGAAAAAAATAACAAAAATTTTGACAACTTAATTTCTGAGGAAGAAGCAGAAGACAAAATGAAAGAAATAATGGTCTGAGCGAAAAAAGAAGACAGTAATCAAAATGACGAATTAGAAGCACAAATTGTGATTATACCAAAATCAGATTATCACTTAAATCGACCGAAATTATTCCAATTCCTTTCATGGAGCAAAAAGTAATTATTATGCAGAACACACAAAACCAATTAAGGGAAATTGTTGATAATCCTGACCAATGAATTATCACTAGATGAGGGGGTTTTGTTCGCATTAAAGATAATGAAAAATTCGTCGAAAAGAAATTGGAGATAATTCGCGAAAAATTGAAGAAAAATTACAAAGGAGTAGTTCGTTTCCAAAAAAAAAGTCCTGAGCAAATTAGTAAAGAAAGATACGATAAATTGTTAGAGGAAGTTAATTTTGATTATGATGAACTTCATAAGTGGATTGACAACAACCAAAATAAAGACAAAGTTGAAATAGTTGAGTTAGAAGATCAAGATTTTTCAGAAGCAGTAGAAGCAATATTTGAACATGTTAAAAACTCTGAGCAAAAATGAAGGAGTAGAAATAAAGAAAAAAATAAATTTTTGGTTAATGAGGAGACAGGGCAAGTTATTTATTACGGTGATAAAATCAAAGAAAAATTTGCTGAAATAGGAAAAAATGACGAATATTTTACTTCTTTAACCTTTAGTAAAAAATCAGTTAAGTACGATTCTGCTATTATTTTTCTTCACGGAACATATGGTGCCGGTTCACTTGATAGTTTGAAAAAAAAATTTCCTAATACTAAATTTATTAATCCTAACTCAGCCACAATCAAGTACGATATGTGGCATGGTTCAGTTCCTGCTCCGGGAGGCATTCAAGTCAAAGGTTGGCTTAACGTTACTGGTGATGTAAATAAAATTATGAACGAGGAAGATTTTAGAGAACTTGATAAAATATATGAGGAGGTTCATTTAGATTATCCGCAATTAATGCATACCGTGTCTTACGTTAATGAACTTGTTGAACAGGAAATTAGTGGTGGCATTCCAGCCAAAAGAATCATCATTTCTGGTTATTCTTCTGGAGCTTTGGTAACTTTGTCAGTTGCCCTAACTTCACAACATGAGTTAGGTGGTTTCATGTCTTTATGTGGTCTTTTGCCTTGTTATGATAAGTTAGTAAATGTAAAAAAAGATGAAAACAAATATACCCCCATACTTATTTGTAATAATTCAGGCGATTCTTGAGTGCCTTGTTGAACCGGTAAAAAAACTTATGACCTTTTAAAAGAGCAAGGCTACAGCAATGCAGAATTCAAAACTCATCAAGGTTTGGGGCATGGTTGGAAAAATGAAGATGTAGTTAACTTTTTAGAAAAGTGTTTTAAAAATAAATGTCATAAATGCGAAATAAATAAAATAACCAGCAATCAGAAAGACGAAAGATGAAACTTGTGCCAAAGTTGTAAGGATGAGCAAGCCCAATTTATAAAATTGCCAAGGTAAAGGATGTGGGAAAATAATTGAGAAATAGACGGATTAAATGAAGAAATTAGGAAATGTAAAAAATGTGCTAAAAAAGAACAATCAAGCGGCGGAAATAATAACAATTCTATCACTTTAAACCAAATCGAACAACCTATTAAGGACTAATGAACTTTACGATGCGATTATAACCCCTTGCTAGAAACCGACTAATTGGTCGGGTGAGGATAAATGGAGACAAAAATTCCTTACTATTTCTAACTTTTTTTAAAAAGCAACAAGTGAGGATTTTGGCAAATATAAAAATCCAGAGTATATAGAAAAGAAAAAACTTCCAAAAGATTGCTATAATAACTGAATCAAAGAAGAATTAATAAAAAGAATTGAAAAAAGAAAAAGTTGATTTCCCTTGAAGCCGAGGAAATTAATTCTCCCGACAAAATGTTAATTATGTTGGAGGATAAACTAAAATAAATATATACTTCCTTGATAAAGATTAAATTAGGTAGGAAAAAAGAAAAGAAATGTTGACTAAAAACAATATTTTACAAAAAGAACACTCGTTTTACAAGCATTTCTTTGACAATCATCTACAAAGTAAAAAAACTGAACTAACTGAATTAAGAAACAAACTCAATAAAGAAGAACAAGAATGATTAGACATTTACTTTGAAGCCAATCAAGAAACCGAAAAGAGTTCTTTTGTGAAAAAACAACTAACCAGAGCCAAAGAAAATCTAAAAGAAAAACTTAGTGAAAAAGAATTAGAGTTAATTTTGAACAAGCAAGCAGAGATTAGTGAGTTAGAAAAGCAATTAAATAACTTACAAATTCAAGAAGCACAAATTGAGGTTCCTCCTAAACAAAATTAATCATTAAATTGCCTTTGTTTATCAAATAAAAAAACAAGACAACATTTTGCTAAAACATTAGTTATAAAAAGACAAACAAATTTCAGCAAGGTGATAATCTTACTTTGCGGGTTTTTGTTGGAGGGTGTTCCAAATTAAGGATTACGAAGCCGAACAAACAAAAAGCGGTTTAATAGGAGAATGTAATAATTGTAGTGAATATAAAAAAGTAGTTGTAAAAAATGCTCTGAAAGTTTAGAGTAAAATTCTCAAAGTTATGAATAAGATTAAATATCCCTAGCGTTAAACATAAAATTAATATATAGTTGTCTATTTAAATAGCCTGGTGGGTGAATAGGTGTTGGAAAACGCCCTTTACCTACCTAGTAGCCTGTCAGGCTCTTTAAGTATTCAACAAAAAAAATGGTAAAGGGCAATTACCAAGAAATAGTCTCACATACTAGTTCTTGAAAGAAAAATCAAAGTTTATCAGGAAAAGAGGAGGGATTTTTTTTTGCTTTTTTAACCCATTTTCAAAAAGAGAGGTGAATATTTTGGCTTTTTAAAGCATTAATTTTCGAAAAAAGGAAATAAGAACTTTTTATTTCTTTTTTTGGGAAATTACTCATTGTTCCCACAACCAGCATAGGAACCAAAACTAAACTGGTTGCGAGCGTAATACGGAAGTCAAGTTGCCGTTTTGAAATATTTAGAAGCTGACAGAACTATCAGCCAAAACAAACTAGTTTGATTACCAACTAGGGCAATAGATAGCGAAAGTTCGCAAACTTTCTCAGTTGGCACACCCCATTGAAATCTGTAATCAGATTAGAGTAAATGGAAGTGTATGCTATGGAGAGCCAACAAAACTATCAAAAATAGTCCACAAAAACTATTTACTTAACTTGCCGACCTCTTAAAATGAGAACTACATATAGGAGAATAGCAACCTATATATTTATTTTAGTTCCGAAGTGAGGCAAGGGGAGGAGTATGGCGTTTTTTTTGCCCTATTTTTGCCCTTTACTTATAAAATAAGTAAAAAATAGCCATTAAGTTCCATTTTGCCCCTTTTTTTCTTTTCTTTTTGTTTGTTTTTCTTTTGTAAGGTTATACGTGGTCTATGTTGCTATTTCAAAAGTCATCCCCTTAATCTATCCCTTGCTTCCCTTTCTTTGGTCCTTGATAAAAGTTTTACAAAAGGCAGGGAAGGTTAAGGCCCTGAATTAAGGAAGTATCAGAAAGGGAAGGCCCCAAATATTTTTAACCAAAAAACCATAGTGTTAATTCGTGAATAAAAGAAAATAATCAGTGAATAAAGTTTTTATAAAATTGGTAAACTTTATTCAGAAGTAGGAATTTTGAAAGGTATGATTTGGTTTTGGTCTTAAAACTTCATATATGCTTCTTACTCCACAACTTTTAGAAAAAGTTAGTAAGGAAATAAAAAGGGTTCCCAACAGACAGGGAGAACATTTGCGGAAAGTTCACTATGGCTGCTATCTTTTATGTAGTAAGGCAGGGTTGAGAGTGGGTGAAGCGGTAAGTTTTGATCTGGTAAATAAAACGAGACAAGGTTTATATCGGATCCAAAAGCCGAAAGGCAAAAAGGAAAGATTAGTTTACATCCCAAAAAAAGTCATCAGAGAATTAAAGAGGAATAATTGACAACCGAATCAAACTAATCGCTGAAATTTTTACCACTTCTTAAAAAAAATTAAGCGAGAATTGAATATTAGTGAAAGCACAGAATTAACTCCGCACACTCTACGCCGTTCTTTTGCTACTTATCATGCCGAAGCAGGCTTATCTTTACCCATCTTATCAAAAATATTAGGACATTCCAGCATTCGCACTACTGCTCTTTACTGAAAGAACACTTACCAAGACCCAAACAACGAGGTCGGTCCTATCTTGGCAGGTAAAAATTGGTTAGAAAGTAGAGAACCGCCAGAACGTCCTCCAAGCACAGAAATTTTTCCGGAAAAGAAAGGAATTTATTCCGAACTTTCCCAAATACCAAAGAACCCCAAACCTATTTTTATAGACCACAAGCCACTAATTCCAAACAAGAAACCTGTTCAACAATATAATTCCTTGTCAATCAAAAAAGCAACAGCAAAAAGTCCAGAAAAGTTAATCAACGAAATTTCACCAAGTCCCCAAGAAACATTTTTATTAAACAGTCCTAACAAAAATTCCGATCAGTTGAAAACTAGTCAATCATTACCACTAACCGCTAATAAAGAGCAAAAACCTACTAAAAGAGAATTAATTTTACTCCAAAAAATCAAACAATTAGA